TACATACATACATACATACATACATACATACATACATACATACATACATACTTTATTTATTCCAGAAGCAGACTATGTATACACTAAGAGGAAATGGAAAATATGCTTCCAGAAAAGGAAGTTAAGAGGTTATCCCTATGTGAAAACTCCCTAAAAAATAAGTCTAAATGAAAATAAAATACTTAGTTATAATTAAATATTTAAATACAATTTAAGCTGAGATTTAAAATGCTGAAGATTATCAGCTTCCACTATGTTTCTTGGTAATTCATTCCATAATTTAACAATCCTAATGAAGAACGAATGTTTATAACAATTAAGTCTTGCTGGTTTGACGTAAAGTTTGTACTGATGATTTGCTCTCGTACATCTAGTTGTGGCAAAATCTAGATTAGCTTTCGCTTGCGAGTTCCTGAAGTGTTTTGTTGACTTCAGAAAGGAGCCTATATTATTTATGGCAGATGAAGTATTACAACCTCACTAAAATGTTTCTTAAACTTTTACAATGTTAAGTAACCTTTAATTTACTTGCCTAAACGTTAAGTGTAGCAGATACAACTTGTTTCAAACGAACAAGGCAGAAAACTTAATCCTTGACTCATCACGGGTTACACAAGCCGAGAAAAGAAAGTGAATAAATTTGCGAATTCTCGCAAAAGAAACCTCAAGAAACAGAAAACTGCATGAACATAGTCGTGGTAGCACTAGATGCAAAAGGCGTACAATAACTGCTTTCGCTAGTAGGAATCTAGAGTGTCGAACGGCGTAAGAATTTTCTAATGTCCGTTAAATAAACGGGTCAAAGCACTTCAAGTCTATTATTTTGCGGTAGGGCCCGAGGGACCGAAAATCATAACAAACTATACACAAAACATAAGTTAAAAAAAAAGAGAAAAATATGGCAAAAAATATTACAACGATAAGTGAATCGCTCGGGCTCTCGGTGCGGGTCCCCTCGCATTTCATCCGCGCCGATATCAAGCTAATCGTGTCAGTTTTTCGTGTTGTTATTCTCCATGTATCCAGACTACGAGAAGAACTTTCATGTTTTCCTTGCGTCCGTTGTCTTTTCTGCTTTTTCTTTCCAGTCTCTCTTTTCAATTGCCTTTCGCACGCATTCTTTTTTTTTTCAGTGTTTCTATCTGCGTACTTTTGACAAACCCCTGTAAATCGCATTTGGATGTAACTATTACTTAAAAATAATGACGATAATAACTTTATCATTTTACTTATATAGCGCATTACGGTGCGTCTAATGAATACCGATACTCTTTCGGACTGGCCATGGCATAGAAGAAAATATTACTTGAAGAATTGTAATTAAAGGTGAAACAGGGAAGGAGGGAAGAGGAATGGGGTTGAATAAGCTCCATCTTTCCTCCGATCTTAATTATTTAAGCTTAGTAAGATTATCGCACTCACGTTAGTGAAGAATCTTCCAGACTTTTGTAGAGCGAAAAAAGTTTGGAAAATGATTAAGATTAACAGATCAAGGTACATCCTGGTGTTATTTTGATGCTGCAGAGCACATTTGCTATGAAAAGATGGGACGATTACTTGGAGAGAAGGAGCTTCATGAGACCGTAAGAAGATAAAATTTATTAGTGATTTCATCCATCTTCCTTAGCACAAATTCCCATAGATAACTGAAAATGGTATCTATGTTATTTGATACGCTTTGCAATTTCCTTATCTGATATTCTGAGTGTATCAACTCAACGAATGAGCACACGAAAGAAAACTGCTACAAATTTATCAAAGCTGAAGAATTTATCGCGGAAGATACAGCTCTATTCCATAGTTATGGACCTCCTGCGGCGCATTAGCATCACCTCAAGAGTTCTCGCAGCGCACTAACGGCAATTTTTTTTACTGAATTTTTTTCTTTTTGACTCGCACGACGGACTTCGTGGAGGAAAAGGAAAAAGGAACTTTATTTTAAAACTCGGGTTGTTGAGGCTGATTAGGCATATTAGCAATACATGCTAATATCCCGAGCAAACTAAATAAGTGCTTAAAAATCCCCACCGTCATGAGGCAGACTAGTGGGCTATTTACAGAGTGCAGCCGAGGAGTTGAACCAGGGGCAACCGAGAACAAATCCAGTGAGTGGAACAGACTAACGAAAAAGTATCCTAGGGGGCTAGATATTGGAACAAGTGATTTAAGAGGGTTTTTGGTAGCATAATTCTGCATTTATGATGCGACTGATACGAGTCAAAATCTGTCCTAGCCTTGCTTTTAAGCGAAAATTTTGGCAAAGTCTCTATTCTTCTGAAAAGTTTAACATGAGCAAAAGATTTACAGTTCAGACATTTTCAAAAAGAGCCGAATATGCTGCTATACACTAAAACAGACGATAGACGGTAGAAGATAGACAATAGGCTATGCATTTTGTGACGGAGCGTAATCGCGAACTTCAAAATTGTCACACAATCCTGTTTTTTACTTGTCTGCCAAACCTTCCTTAGTTTTCATCACTTTCTCATCTACCGCCACAAACCCTCCGTAGTTGTTACCAAACTCTTCTTGGTTGTAGCCAAATTCTTCTTTGTAGTCACCAAATCCTCCTTAGGTGTCGGCAAACCCTCCTTTGAAGTCACGAAACCCTATTTAGCTGTCGCAGAACCCTTATTTGTTGTCGTCAGACCCTTCTAATTTGTCACAAAAGTCTTCTTAGTTATCGCCCAACCCAAGTTCTCCTTAGTTTTTGCCAAACCATCCTGAGTTGTCGCCAATCTCCTCTTAGTTGTCACCAAACAATCTTTAGTTGTCGCCAAACTTTCTAAAGTTATCAGCATACCCCCCATAGTTGTCCCCAAACGCTTCATGGTTGTCGCTAAACTTTCTTTAGTTGTACCGAGCCATCCTTAGTTTTCGCCAAACCGTCCTGAGTTGTCGCCAAAGTCTCCTATGGTACTGCCAAGCATTCCTCATTTGTCGCCAAACTTGCCCTCGTTGTCACCAAACCATCCATAATTGTCGCCAAACACTCCTTAGCTGTCACAAAACTCTTCTTATTTGCCACAAAACTCTTCTTATTTGCCACAAAACTCTTCCCCTTTTTATAACTAGTTGTAGCCAAACTCTTAGTTTCTAAACCCTGAGCTTAGTTGTACCAAACCCCCCATGTTGTCGCCGTACCATCTTATGGTGTCACCAAATACTCCTACGTTATCGCAAAATTCTCTTTAGTAGTCGCCAAATTCTCCATAGTTATCACAAAACTCTTTTTAGTTGTCGTTAAACTCTCCTTAGCTTAGCTGTAGTCAAACCCTCCTTTCTGGCCAAACTCTCCTAAGTTCTCACAAAACCGTATTAGCTGTCACCAAGCCGGCCATAGTTGTCGCCAAACTCTTCTCGCCAAAACTGTTCTAGTACTCATCAAACTTTTCTTAGTTGTCGCCAAACTCTTCTCGCCAAAACTGTCTTAGTAGTCATCAACTCTTTTGAGCTGTCGCAAAACTCTTCTCTTTTGTCACTGAACCCAATTGATTTGCCTTCAAATCCTCCTTATTTGCCGCCAATCTCTCTCTAGTTGTCGTCAAAATATCGTTGAGTTCTGCTGACCTCCACCCTAGCAATACTTTTTATTTTTCCTTTTTCTCACACACATATCCTCCTTGTTCCTTACCAGATAGTCAGAATAGTCACGATGCTTTTAAAGTCCTGCATTTTACTAGCCATCTTTCTCGGTCACGGTCTTTGTGAGAGCGAGAAAAATATTTCACGGAACTTGAATGGCACTGTCATTGGTAACAAGACCCTCACGAGTGTAGATGGTCCATACTTGGTAACCAGTGACTTGATTGTCCCAGAGAATGCCACCCTTACCATAGAACCTGGTGTAATTGTAAATTTTGTTCCATCTGCGGGGATTCGTGTTCGTGGATCGTTTCATGCAAAAGGGACACCTTCGCAGAGAATTACTTTCCGAGCGGTTCCCTGTGAAGAAACAGATTTGTGCAATTTAACAGACTGGGCTAAGTTCTACAGTCGGGGGGTAAGGCTTGTGGATGGAACATCCTACAATAACGGGCGCCTTGAGCTACAGTATAATGGAAGATGGGGGACACTCTGCAACAACTGGAAAACTTGGGATATCAGTGATACGCAGGTGGCCTGCAGACAACTTGGCTTCCTTGGAGCAAAGCGGTATTACTATGATCCTGGTAGCGGCCCCGTGATGATGAAATATGTTAACTGTAAGGGAACCGAAAAGAGTCTATGGGATTGTCCTTACACATGGATTTTAAATGATCCATATTCATGTAGTAAGTTCATTTCAGTCATAAGTAATGCATCGGTGTTTGCTGCATGTTCCTTTCCATGGATGATAGTCTTTCTAGTTTCAAAGCAAGTGATTACCGACAACCCAATTTAAAATTTCCATGTCACCAAAGTAACTTAACACCTTTTTTGTTCAATGACTTTAGCAATTTTGGTATTCGTGTAGAATTTTCAAAAGAGGGGAAAAAAATATGTCCACATACGTGATCGAGTAAGCTATATAGGATTCATACACTAAAGGCTGGTTTTCACTTGCGACGGAGTCGTAGTCGGAGTCGTAATCAGAAGCGTGGAGCGATACGATCTAGTGAAAATCAAACCGACGGAGTCGGAAGCAGAACACCGATGCTGCCTATGACTCCATCGCTTACGATCCAGTGAAAACTGCATTGTCGGAGTCGGAAGCGGAAGCGGAAGAATAAACCAATCACAATCCTCGATTTCATCTTTCCAAAATGCACAAATAGCCGTAACAAATTTAAACGTGTGAGCTTGACGGTAAAATTACGAAATTAAAAGTTAAAATACTCGAACTGAACCTACCGAAAGTACGATTCACGATCACCAAGTCGTAGTTCGCTGATGAGGTTAGCATACTCTTCCTAGGCTGCTCGACGTCGATAGATATCACGAACCCAAAATTGCTTTCCTTTTCAAACGATATTATTCCTGCATTGTCTCTACCTGCGCAAAATAATGATTAATAAGCGCCAAAGTTGCTCTTCGTCCGCCATGTTCTCTTTGGCGCCAAAATTTGTACTTTCGCGAGCCTGGTATCGAGCATTGTGATTGGTTTATTCTTCCGCTTCCGCTTCCGACTCCGACAATGCAGTTTTCACTAGATCGTAAGCGACGGAGTCATAGGCGGAATGGGAAGAAAATGGGAACGTTCTGATTCTTCCGACTCCGATTCCGTCGAGCTTATGACTCCACTTACGACTCCGTTTTACGATTTTCACTGGGTCATAAGCACTCTTACGACTACGACTACGACTCCAACTCCGATTCCGTCGCTAATGAAAACCAGCCTTAAGGGATCTTTGTACGTGTTTGGAGGAAAGGTGGCCGCTAAGAGCAACGAACAAAATTTTTAACCAGAGGTCCTGTCTCAATAGTAATTGCGTACAGGTGACGAATTTCCAGTTGCTGAATGCCTTAGTTACCATCTCGGAAACTCGAGACAATTTTTTCTGCGAGAAAACGTCCGTGATGTCTTCATTAAGTTGTCCCTGTTGACGTATTCAAGCTCGAATGCTTACAAGTCCAAACTTAGTGTAACGAACGGAGTTCTTCTCACATGGTCTTACACTCCATTAGTGCTCCGAACGCGATAGGGTTGGATAAGAATATTACTAGGAACCAAGCCAGTCTTTCCATCTATCAAATTTCTTTAATTACTTGCTTGATTCACGTAAAAACTGAAAAGATAAAAGATAAAAGTTTCGTGACGACACGAAACAGGGGGGCGTATCACAATGCTAGAAAATTACTAAATATTTCAAATCACTGGCGATACAGGCAAAAACAACGAACCCAATTATAACTAAATCGACAAGCATGCACAATAAACTACAAATCATACCTCTTTCTCCAATCTTAACTCTTATTCTTTCGATCTTTCAGTTATCCTTCGTTCCGTTTGTTCTGATAGCACGTGCTTATGAAAGGCTAGTTTTGTCTGAGTGTCTAATGTTCCTTGCGTGACAACGGAAGTTACGCGATCATTCTTAACTATTACGCGTTAATCAGTTACACTTAGTTTGGCATTTGGATGCTTGGTATACGCTCTTTTCTATTTTCTTTCGATCTTTTTGGGAATCAGCTGAGTTAAATTTGGATTTCTTTACGCAACACTATTGAGCTGTACACTCTGTGACGCTATTGGATAGAGGACCTTAAGTTGTCCTGAATACCTAACTCACTCGCCCGACTTGAAACTCGAATAAATTCTTAGAGAAACAATGTATAGATCAAGGGAGGAAGAGATTGAGTCAAGCTCCCCGAAACCACATAAATAGGACTTTCCTCGAACTGCAAAATCGGCTACTTATAGTCCACTAACCATTTTCCTATTTTCATTTTCTATTACAATAAATATTTCAGGTCACAGGCTGGACGTTGGCATTGAATGCGACACTCTCTTGTCATATTTGGCCGAGATTTTTTACTGGAAAGGTATTTACTTCGAACCAACGAATTCCTCAGAGAAACAAGGAATTTCTTCGCTGGTGCACGTGGACATTGAGAATGCTCTCGAGGGCGTAAATGCTGTAACAAACGCTCCAGAGTTACTACATGTTACAATTAATGATAGCGCCTCTGGCGTAAATGTAAAAGAACTTGCCAAACCATTGGTCCTAGTTGATTCTTCAATCCTGAGGCCCACGCTGGCCGGTGTGAGTATCGAGAGCTCCGGTGGTAATGTTGTCATTGAAAACGTCACGGTTGAGAGAGCACGATTTGAAGGAGGTCTTATCTACAAGCGTCTGGCAGTGAATTTATGTTCTGTCATTCCAGAGAAAGCTTCTTTTCCTTTGCTTCTAGATGCCGTTGGGAATCATCATCCGGTTACTTGCAATAAGGTAAGATCGAGTATTCTAGTCAAAATGTCTGAGCGATTAGGGTGAAAAGAAGTACGGAGTGCGCTGTGAACCAAGAGAATATAAAAGTTTATAGTCTCTTGTGTGAACTCAAAGCCACTCGAATATTAACGGTAAAATATATGAACAGTAGCCTCTGTTTAGCGCAATAGTATAATTATTCAACAATTTCTCTCCGAAGGTGAAGTGAATATTTTTTAATAATCCCCAAGACGAAGTCGCGCATCCCTCTAATCATCGGAACATTTATACCAAGTACAGATAATCGTCCGCGGAAATCCTACACAGAAACCGCCTTTCAGCCATCTCAAATTGGCCAACGATTCAATGAAAAAGTTTGCTCTGCAGGCTAAATGGACGAAACATTTAGATCAGAACCCCTTTTTCTGTGTTCATTTATCACGTGAAGTCAGTTGGCACCTACCGAATGTTATTTCCTGTATAAATTTCCTAAAAAGGAAGTATTCGTGGAAGAGATCTAAATAGTCAAAACTTCATGAAAGGGAGCTACTGCATAGGAGCACCTGCATAAGAATAGCTGTAACCTAGAGACATTATCAGCATATTGCTGCCTTTTTAAATCAAAACTCTTCTAGTGAAAGGAATAAAAAAATCTTTGCATTCTCTAGGTTTTCAGAGCTTCGCCAGGAAGAAAGATCTCTTTGCATTTAAGAACAATTGATGGAAGTGGATTTGAACTAAATATTACCGATGCAAGTACAGCTATCAAAACCCAACTTCACAGAATCACCAGTGACTACAATGGAAGGACAATTAAGACTGGTTCTAGTTTTAATTTGGAACTTTCCTTTAATTCTAAGGGCGGTTCTAAAGCCTCTGCGAATTTGGAAATGATCATTATGGAAGATAAAGGTAGTTATGTTTTTAGTGATGTATTTAAATAACCAAAGACTAATGGTTTATCTGCTGTTCAAGCGTGCAGTTCAATATTCTTTCAGAAAGGTAGTTGTTTAATCTCTTTATCAGTAACGGCGTCAACTTGTCCTTTGGTCAATCACACTGTCAGTCAGTCGGTCTTTCAGTCCTGTGGTCAGTCAGTTCTTCAGTCGCTCTTTGTAAATAATGTAAATATAGTTTTATATCTGACCACTTGCAGCCCAGAGGCTGAATTATGGGTGCAGTGTAAGGTTGAGAACAGACGTCAGCATATCAGGCGCCTCTGGCAGCCGCTTCAGTCTATCGATATCACCTTCCAACCCATCCCACCCCAGGGAGGACATCGATCACACAGTAATCTCGTGTGTGGGAAATTAACGTCTCCTACCCCAACCCTGCAGGAGACGGGACCTCCATTTATTCGTCCCTATCCGAGAAGACTAGAATATCTAACCATCTCTTGATGTTATAGAAAGGCAGCATATTCTTCTTCTCAATTATTTTAAGACCTTGAGTGTTGGTCCGGCCGGTTCCGTCGTTTGGTTGTCTGGTTGTTCTTTCAGTCGGTCCTTCTGTAGTTGGGACGATCAGTTAGTCGCTTAGTCAGTTAGTCAGTAGGTAGGCTAGTTATTCAATGAAGAATTGCACAAAAGAATCAGCTATTCATTAGTAAGAGCACAGGACTGCCTATAGATAGTCCATAAAGTTTTTTCGATCATGTATGCTCTTCGTAACATTAACCTCTTTGCTTTTGATCATTTATAGGCGAGACTTTATCACTTGTGATATCTAACAGTACCTTTTCTGACAATTTTAAGTCTGGTATTACCGTTGACAACTTGATTGGTAACTCTCGAGTCTCGCAGACAAAGGTGACAGGAAACAATTATTATGGACTCTATGCCAGCAACACACAAGGAAAAATATCTGTTGTAGCCTCCGTGTTTCTGCGTAACAAATATAACGGCGTTAACATAACCAAGATGACAGGTACTTTAGAATTAATTAACGTCAATTCCTCGAAAAACCAAGCGTCAGGAATCGTTATCGATGTTGGAACTCTATCATTCCAAATGTCTGACAGCTTTGTCGAAGAAAATGCCGGTCAAGGATTACACATTGTAAACCAGGTCAACTCCACAATCAATATTAACGGCACGCAGTTTATTCGTAACAGTAATGGTGAAGGGGTACATTTACAGGCACTTCGCTATTGCCAAGCTCTACTCGCGGAAGTATTGTCTCTTGGAAATTCGCAAAATGGGGCTTTGTTAGCAAGATTATCCGATACCAGATTAAATGTCAGCTCTTGTAAATTTGATGGAAACTCAGAAACAGGAGTCCACGTTGACTACTTTCTCAGAGGAGGGCTTAACTTAGAGAATGTTTCTACATCAAACAATAACAGATATGGTTACATTTTCCATTTTGGGGATACCAGCATAAACATAGAGTCTTCGTCTTCTTTTGGTAACGGCAGAGATGGCTTTTACGTAGAGAACCAAGAAGGAGAAGTTGTGTTAAAGGATTTTGCTGCTCGTGCGAACAGACGACACGGATTACAGTTTCTTGATAAATACTCAGCTCGTCTTCGATCAGTTTATCTTCTAAACTGTAATGTTTCAGAGAACAGTCAATACGGCGTGCAGTTTTATCTGACTTATAGATTTACTGAAGGCACGGAGAACTATACCATCAAGGTTGCAAACTCCACAATTTTCAACAATCGTCATGGTGGTTGTACGCTCGATCCTGCAGGCTGCGGTCGGGGAGGCGCTCGGCGACAGAGACGCGTTCAACTTTTATTCACTGGTAATGAAGTAAAAAGAAACAAGAAAAAAGGTTTGGATATCCTTGGTCCAGAGTGGTACGAATTATCTGCTCTCCTTACTAATAACATATTTTACGAGAATAGTGGACCTTCTCTGATAGTAAGACATGGCCAAAGTTGTAGATATGAGCATTCGTCACCATACAAGTTGCAGGTTTCGTCGAACATCTTTTTGAAGAATAGAGGGGAGAACATATTTTTCGTTGATTGCGAAACGTTACCCACAAAATGCCATGTCACCATCAGAAATAATACGTTTTTAGACAATCAAAGAATCCGGCAGTTTTCAAACAATTACCTTCGTACCAAAACGCAAGCAGTTTTAGCTGTACAAGGAGGCAACGTTACCATAAAGTGCAATTCGTTCAGCAATCCTTTGTTCTCTTACGAACTGGCAGCTTTGCTTAAAGATAACGAACACGCTGTTCAAGCGGAAGAAAACTGGTGGGGAACAAGAGATGAATGCAAAATAAAAGACCGACTTTTTGACTTTGAAGATCGAGTGGAACTTGCAAAGATTCATTATTATCCATTTTTGGATTCCAACCATTCTACCAGTGCCAAACTACACAATGGTGTCAGACCTTTCTGTTTTCTTCGAGGTGACAAGTTAGGGGGAACATTGAATCAAGTCCTCAATATCACAAACCAAATTGATGCTTATCGAGTTATCAGTGATGTCACAATTTTGTCTGATGGTGTTTTGCATATCGAAGAAAACGTCACCTTAGAATTTCCATTGAAAAGCGTTTTCCTAGTTCAAGGAAAGGTTATCATTAAAGGTACTGAAAAAGAACGGGTGAAGTTCATTCCAAAGGGACCCTTGAATCAGGATATCAGACTTGTCGGAGGTCCTGCCCCTTGGGAAGGGGTGGTTGAAACATGGGTCAATCGTACGTGGATGCCAGTTTGTATTCGTACCTACCGACACGAGTATGACATAGTATGTCAACAATTGGGATACGAGCCGGTGTACTATTATCGCCATGATCCAAGTGGAAAAGAGAAAATATTCTTGCATAATGTCCGATGCGATACAGATCAAGGAGACAACATTACCATTTGTAACAAAAACAACTGGATTTCGTCTTCATCTTGCTCGGCGAATGTTTTATATGTTGCTTGCAAAATTCCTTACTGGGCTGGCATTCACCTTGCAGCGACTTCAAAGGAAAGCGTTGTCAGCAATGTTGAGGTACGCTATGCAGGTTTTCCATACAGAGACGACCTGATGATCCCCGGAATCGCTTTCAGAGTAGACCTCCCTCGTCACACGATCAGCGGTGTCTCTGTGAGGAATTCTGCTTCAATTGGTTTCCAGATTATGTATCCAGACCCCGTTGAAGATTCATACAAAATCGCGAATTCAACAATAGCTAAAACTGAATCAGATGGAATACGTTTGGAGTCTCCATTCTTTGAGCTCCTGGGTGCAACTGTCGTAAACACAAAAGGCTACGGATTTTCGTATCGTTACAACTGGAATGCTCTCAACAAACACGTTGTAACAATGGCAGATGCGACTGTGAAGAAGTTTATGGACATGTGCAATGAAAGTGAAAGGTTTATTGATGACTCTAGTGTAGTGCACTATCTAGTTGTGACAGCAAAGAGCAAAACAGCCTGCGAGGCCATAATTACTGTTCCACAGGAATATACAATAGGATTGCAGCTAATCTATCACAATGTACATGGTGTAGTTTTCCACGTCTACAATCAAACAGAAAAACCAAAGGACATTTACTGGGATATCCATATGTTAGACTGGTATAGCCGTCCTGTTTGGATGTCAGGCAATAGCTCAATCCTACTGGAGAAAGGGAGCAAATATTATGCGGATGACTACATGGTGCATTTTCTACTGTTTCTTATCAAAAGTAAGCTCAGCTAATTTATAAATAATATAAATTAAAGGAATGATGCTCAGTTGGACTGCAACTTTATTAGCAATTGCAAAAAAAGAAGCCTAAATAATTCAGGCTTCGACAGGATTCGAAGCCGCGCAATCCAAAAGCTGTTTGGGTGCGGCTACCAACAGATCTACAAAGCCACGCGATGATGAGAGCCAGGCCAATTTTTTAGAGGGTTCTTCTTTCCCGTGGAATAACTCTGGAGGAACTCTTTAATAAACAAATTCGATTGAAATATTGGTCATATTGGCGGTAACATTGTAAAATAAAGATTATGATTAACATATGTTTTGATGATTTTCATGAAGTTATAAAGGATTCGCCACTGAGGATAAGAAAACACCAGACTGGCTATTACCTTCAAATTGTGACTGAGCTAAGATTTTGATCTTTTAAGTAAACGTTTCTTTAAATTCAATCTTGACTTTAATTATGGAGTTTCCGTTTCTATCTATTATATTTACAAAAAATTTCAGATGTGCTCCTTTACTTAAAATGAGTTGGGCAAGAGTTGCACTGCAAGGATCGAAATATTTTTGTTATGATCATTGGGCCTAAAGTTCACTCAAAAAACCATATAAATCAACTGATAACTGTGAATACTGTTTAAGAAGTTAGTTGCTGATCGAAGTCAATGGGAATTTCGCCCAATTAATTTTTTTTTGGTATACTTTCTTTGCTTCAGAGAAAAAATTCCCAAGGCTTTGATAGCTATAAGAGCAATGCAAAAAACTTTTTGGGGAGGTCAGGGAGTCTGGGAAAATCTCTTTACTACTCGTGCTTCCGTTTATTTTGTGGTCATAAACAATTATTTTGGTTTTTAACCAACAGGCGATGAAAAGACAGAAGTTAGGTCACCAAAACTTGTAATATCCAAAGGAAAATTTAGCTACAACACTAATGGCGGAATCTTTTTGGGAGGAGACGACCTAGGAAAAGTGGAAATCCAAAACACGGAAGTACAAGACACACCCCAAAGTGGCCTATCGACGGCATTTTCTCAAGTAAACAGTTTGAAACTGCTGAATTGCCAGTTCGTCAGAAATAAGATTGGAGTCAAGCTCTCTTCGTTTTCAGGCAATGTCATTATCAAGAACACCAAAGTTTCTAACTCCACCGAAAATGGACTTTATCTGGACTCGGACGGTGAAAAAACAGTTCATATTGAAAATGGTAGTGTTACCCATAGCCATGAATATGGACTTTATCTAGATGGAAGTGATACGAAACTGAAACTTTCTGCAACCAATACTTTTTTTGGATGGAATAAGGCATCTTCTGTCTATTCTTCTGTTTATTATAGTTGCAGTTCGCCTTATTCATGCCTTACTTCCTTTACAAACTGTACATTTTGTGCCAACCGAGGTCCTGTAATACAAATCTACAGATCTCCAAACTCATGGCAATTTGACGGCAACCTTTTCCTGAACAACACTGAAGGTCCTGTTATTTTGACTCCGCACTATACGGATAGGTACTACACTCCTGAATTATTTGTGAGAAATAATAGTTTCTTGTTCAACTTTTGCCAAGATAAAAGCGTCATATACATCATTGGAAGCACAAAAGTTTTGATCATCGAAGGAAACATCTTCAAGCAAAACTATGGGAGATCCGTTTTTGTAGAGAAAACCTCTCCGTCAGGCGCAACTATAAGAAGTAACATCTTCACAGACAACAGCTGCCTGAACAGTGGAGTCATTGAGATTCGGAGGGTAGATGATGACATCGTAATTGTTGACAACATCCTTAAATCGAATAAAGGACATTTTATGGTTTTTCTCCACTGCGAGTACGTTTTAGGAAGGAACATGCCCTCCGGCATGAAGAATGTAACGTTTTCGAACAATTCACTGATGAACAACGTGGATTTACCATCAAGCTCCCCATCCTGTGAGGTAAAAGTTTCTGGATTTATGGAGCGGAGAACATTTTTCATCAATTACAACAGACTTAACAGCCAAGAGTTCTCAAAGGAACTTTGCGTAAGCACCCATGCTTCCTCGCATAGCAGCATAGTGCAAGCTTCATTAAACTTTTGGGGTTATGATGACGAGGAAAGAATCAAGGCGAGAATTCTTGATGCTGAAGACGATTACGAACAGACATTCGCTGATTTTCGTCCCTATATCAGCAGTGCAGGAAACACAATCAAGGGCTCGCAAGAGAATTTCACCCTCAACGCGCTTACGAAAAGCTTTCTGGGAGGAAGGATATTATCCAACGTTCGTCTAAAACAAGATAAAAGTCCCTATACAGTTGTGTACGATGTCACTATTCTACCCAAAGCTTCACTTTCAATTGATCCTGGTGTTGAGGTACATTTTATGCCAGGGGTTGGCATGCTGGTTCTTGGTTCCCTCTTTGTGGGCGGCAAAGAAGATCAGCCTGTCAAATTCTCTCTTTCAAAAACAGCAAAAGAAGATGATTCTCTGAAAATTCGATTAGCCGGAGGAAAGTTCCCCTGGGAAGGACGTGTAGAGATACTTCACAACCGGGATTGGACCTCACTGTGTTTCAATGAGACGAAAGGCAATAAAACTAATGTCGTAAGACTGATATGTGAACACCTGGGCTATCAAGCACCATTGTCCGTCAATCATTCCCTTCAAGAATCGTCTCGCCCTTTGGATACCTGTGCCGCTCTTCAGTGCAAAGGAAGTGAATTAGATTTAGCAAAATGCTCCTTATCTTTCCAAAACCTCAAATGCAACACGTCGTGTCATCTTGTATTAAATTGTGGCGAGGGAAGGCCTTGGGGAAATATTAGATTTCTTCGCGAAGCTACGAACACTTCAAACCTATCACCGTCAAGTTTAAAGTACTTAAGGATTGAACACTGTGGCGAGAAGCATGGCCAAAACGTTGCTGCTATCGAAATGGTTCAGTACGTTCCAGAAGTAAATCATGTGACTGTTCTTAACTGCACATCAGGTGGTATTAAGGTTTGGTTCCCAGAAAAAGAGGTCATTATAACAAACAGTTCCTTCGTGAATACCGGAGGAAATGGAACTGATCTAATCATTACGAAAAACAACGTTACACTTGAAAATATCAAATCGATAAAAAACGAATATGGACTGAGTTTTCATGAAGTGTACGGTGATTGGATTGATAGTATTCCATACGGAAAGGTTAATCTGTGTTCTCCCCAAAAGGTGGTGAAAATCATGGATCACGATGTATTCATTTATTTTAGAGTACCATTTGTGTCTCTCGCAAATCTGGAGGTATCCTGCGAAATGAAGGTTCAAACAGATGTAGATTTTGGTTTTGCTGTTCAGCCATTAGTTCTAAGAGGTATAAGGTATTTTCGGATAGATCTTCCAAATGGAGCTAAAATCTTACAATCTTATGATAGCAGCAGCCCAAGAGTACTCAAAAAAAGGAATTTGATCAGATGGGATTCTTTTACAGTCATATTTGAAGGATGGTACAGTAGTGAAATGCTTTTGCAAGTTCAACGTGTTGATTTCAGAGGTTAGCAGCTGGAGCTTTTTGTCATAATTACTATTATCAATATCAGAACCATTATCTATATAATAAGCATTATTATCGTTCTCTTTATCGCTATCGTCAGCATTTAATTTTCGCTAACGTCAGCATTATTATCATAATCATTATTAATTAATGTTTTTGTCTTTGTCAGGGTGAATACTGTCTCTTCCTTGTCTTATACATAACTTATGGGTTCGACAATTTTCTTCAGATATTCCTTGTTCATTTGACCGTGATTTTTGTGACTGGAGACATTATCCCAGATCACATTTTGAAGGAATTGCTCTGAAGAGGCGATGGTATTTTGGTGGAAGAAGCAATTATGACCACAGCTATACAGGGGGCAATGGTGAGTAGTCTATTAAGTTTTCATCCATCTTGTAACCAGTTATGAGCTGGTGGAAGCACAGGCAGCCCAAGCGTACTGTGTGTGACTTTGAGTGTAAAACTCATTAACGGCAATAACTAACATATTGAGATCGAATTTCAAGCGTACGTGGGGGCCGTTAAAAAAGGAAAAACTATCAAAAAAAAATAAGAAAAAATTTCATAGGATAATAAAAGCGGGGAATAAAACATGTGAAGTCTCCTTACCTTTTTTCCGTAGCCACTTTGTTGCCAACGGTCGTTTTAACGCTGTTTTGGCGACTTGCTTTGTAACGCTTGCAATATCATCAGTCAACTGAATAAGAGAAAAACTTATAAAATAAAAATTAAGAAAAAAACAAGAAGAAAATAAAAGCGAGGAATATATCGTATGAAGTCTCCTTTCCTTTTCTCCGTTGCTTCTTTGTATTTTACGGTCCTTTTAACGCTGTTTTGGCGACTTTCTTTGCAACGCGTGTGGTTCTATCGGTCAACTGTGTATGGAGTTTTTTATACACAGTTGACCGGTAGAACTAATCTATTCCCCGCTTTTATTATCCTATCAATTTTTTTCTTATTTCTTTTTAAGTAACTTTTCCTTTTTTAACGGCCCTCACGTACGTTTGAAATTCGATCTTAATATGTTAGTCATTGCCGTTAATGAATTTTACACCCAAAGTCACACATAGTACGCTTGGGCGGCCTGTGGTGGAATTAAAGGTAAAGAAATCCTGCCGCTTTTGTGGATATTGATTTTCCAGTCGAATATTTAGTGACTCAGTGGAACTTTGTACCTTATCAAGTGAAAGGGAGGTACTTACGGTCCCTTCTTGTGAAGTTCAAAAGATCGTTAAAGGATATCAGAGCAACAGCCGATCAGAAGCAAAATGGGGATTATCGTCTATTAAGAACTACCCCAGGAGACCCGATGATAAAATTACAAGTGGGAAAAAGGACGCAGAGAGGTTGTTAAAAATCGAAAAACCCACTAGGAGTGCCACAAAGAGCTGGAATGGTGACTTGCCAAAACATAGAATACTGAAAAAACGAAGTCAGGAAGATGTACAGTATGCTGAGTTGGAGACATACGATCAAGCTATTAAACTAGGAGGGACAAAGAGAGAAGGCTGGAATTGTGCCAATGTCGGAACACCGTTTTGTCGACTGATAAAAGTGCTCCCTCAGGAATTCAGAAAAAGCACGCCAGTACCTTGCCCATCGGAGTCATGTATGTCGATCTCAGACCTCCACTTGTCAGTTATTAGTACTCTCAAAGGATTGGCTTAATTGTGCTAATCGTTAAGCGCAGATGTCTACTCATCGAATCCATTTATTACGAACACCTCATTTTCTTTGATCTCAGCAGTAATGGAGCAAGCCTTAACTTTTCAACATCAACTTCTGGACGCACCTAAAGATTAAGGTCTTCCCATTCCAATTCAATATTCAGCCTGCTCGCTCTTCCAAAGGCTCTACCTTCTCAAAACCTCTCTGTACGGCCGACAGCAATTTACATGTATTTTAAGCCCTTGTCAAGTGGTATTTAAATTCAGTGTGTGGCCCCAGATGTACATCAGAATCATGGTTCATGGTTACATGGGAAAAACTCTTAATAAGTTTAGACTTGAATCTAGCATCTGTTAAAGACATAATCAAATTTCCTTTTTTAATTTTATCTTACGCAGGAGGAAAACTAACTCATTGGTCCTTCTGGAGATCTGGTTATGCTGCCCTTATCAGCCCGTCAATTCTGAGCGACAGCAACTACTGTTACTTGGTGTTTTACTACATGCTGGGAATTGATTACTCCAGTTTATCAGCATCGCTGTCTATTTTTTATATAGAAGACAATACTAATAAGTCCACACTGCTGTGGTCCACGAACGATTACGTGGCTAACTGGAAAAAGATAATAATCGAGCTACCCAATGCTAGCGCCAGTTACTCGATTGTGGTATTGGGATATAAAGAGTACAGGAGCTACATTTATGTCGATGACCTGGCCTTCGTTAGTTGTGACTCAGGTAAGTTGGGATATATTTAAAATTGACATATTAAATTCTTAGTTTTTCTATTAGTTTTTTTTTATTATTGGTTGTATGATAAAATAGGCTAGTTCCTCGATGTCTCTCCCATACTGATTGTGTCGACATTTCCAGTTCGTAAGAAAATTGCATTGAGGTTTGGAGAAGATAAATTTAGCCAGGAAATTAAGTACCGAAAATAAGATAACCTTCTTTTAAACTAGTTTATGCATTTCATTATCTCTATAGCTGCTGCCGTGCACCAAGTGACCGGAAGTGTTTTCAATGGCAACAGTAAGCAAGGTATACTTTACACGACGACTCAAAGAGAAAGACATATTTTTCGAGTAGAACGTTGTCAGGTAACAAACAATGGTCTGAATCCAGTCCTTAGTGGGAGCCTGTCAGGAGCGATTTATCTCAATGCTTTCCAACAAGTGTTTGAAATAGTTAACAACTACATTTCCGGAAATAACAACGGAGGCATTTATTCTAAGGTACTCAATGGATTGTCCACGACAAGACCACCAGTTAGCCATATTCATGCAAACACCATAGAGTACAACAAAGGAGGCATATTACACGTAGAAGGAGTTTCTGGGCCCTATTTGAACGTTGTAGTGAGTAACAACTATTTTTCTCGAAACTTAGCTCGAGATTGGGACGGTAAAGCAAACAGTGTTTGTATCATAACAAAGTTATGGGCGATTGTTCAAGGAAATTTCTTCTACAGCAACGTCGGCCATTACGTTTTGCTATATGATAATTCTCAAACAAATGGTGTTGGTCTTCGATTTGTGAATAATACACTGTACAAGAATGGTGCAAGGGGGTTCGATGTTAATTACGGAGCGACTATTCTTTGCAATGGAACGGCAGAAATTCACGGAAACGTTTTCCAGAATCCTAGCAACCGTTATCAGTTCAGTACCACAATGAGAGGGAGTCCAGTCACAGTTAACGCCACTTTTAATTGGTGGGGAGAGGGTGAAGCAAATTTCATTTCTGCTCTGATCATGGATAAAACTACGGATTATCGATTGTCTATAACAGTTGTGTTTCAGCCGTTCGTCAGGCTACCACCTCAAACAGCTATATCAGGTAAATATGTTTTGACTTTCAAAGTCCAAGACAATCTTCCATATTGTTTCGATGTCTTACTTTTTCACTTCAAACTGTAACTCTTTTGTGTCAAATATTGCATGGTCGGCTATTTTAAAACACAAATGAATAAAGGCTGATAGTTTCGAAAGAAACTGTTTGGGGCTGCGTCGGTGGGAGTAACGACAAATTATATTAAAACATCCATGTTTTCTTGTAACAATTAAAAGTGTTAAGTATTAAGTGAATTAGAATTAATTGTATTTTTTTATGTTTGTGGACTTATTTTATTAATTTAGTACACTTTAGAATACAAAAAAGCTCATCAATTCTCTTCCCAGTGTCTTGCCCGCCTGAATGGATCAAGGACGATGAGATGTGTTTCATGTACAAAGGAGGCTCATTCACTTTCTCCGATGCCAAGAAATATTGTGGGGTAAGCGTGATTGATACTGACAATCTATTTTAGTCTCACTTTTCCTTGTTTTTGGGTTTTGTTTTGTTTTTATGCTTTTTCATGTTTTTGTGCATGCTACTCCATTTTTCCACATTTTACCGCCTGTGCTTAGACTAAATGAAATGAATAACGGGGTGACGTGACTATACTAGGGACCAAGGTCATTCGGCTTGAGGGCGACTTGACCTGAGGCGATCGATATAGGGGTTGCATTTCCTTGAGGGCGACTTGACCTGGAGCGATACAGGAGGCTGCATTCCCTTCCTCTCTTAGTCCCCCTGTTCCGGTTTTCCTGAACTATATTTTGTTGGGATAGTGCTATATGCTCGCTTACCCTGTTATTATACGTTCATTTGTAGAGTTATGGTGGAAATCTCATCACCATGCTTTCAAACGAAGACAAACGACTCATAAAGCATCTAAGACAGAAAGAATCCCTGGTTCGTTTAAGCGTGTTACCTTCTCTATGGACCATAAGCAGGCGCTTTTTGAAAGAGGTCAGAAAACATCAAGTTCGATATTTAGTTTCCACCCCGCGTGTCTTTTGTAATTAATTTGATTACCCAATAATATCATGAGTATCAAATTACGCTCACAACCTCTGATCAACCCGGTGTCAACTCTTGTTTACACGATGTGTATTGCTTGTAGATGTAGTAAGAACACCGCCCTTGTGAAATGCGTTGAATAACCCGCACATGACCTTTAGCATGCATTGCTGTCGGTGCGAGGTATTCGTATTAACATGTTTTGAAACATGAATTGTAATACCACTTAAACTGCTATTACCTAAACGCAAATGAAATTTTCTGAGGTATTATTTTTTAGTACCAAAACATCTTCATGTAGGGAATCGTGCGACCTATTCGCCATTTAGGCACTTGAGAAAAGGTTGCTCTCCTTAAGGAACTCTCAAGGAAGAACCCTCAAGGTTCGATTCTAGGCCCATTATTGTTTATTGTATACATTAATGACCTCCCTAATGCCTCTAACAGACCCTCTACTTTTCGCTTATGACACCAGTATCTTTAATTTTCACTCAAACCCAAATTGTACATATATATTGTTTTATTTTTAAATTTCTTAAATTTTTAGGTAGTATTTAGTGTCCCCAGTTAGTGGTTGTATAACTGCTATTTTAGATTTGACACATAAATAAAGGTTGTTGTTGTTGTTGTTGTTGCTTAGAATCCGTACTTAATGATGAAATTCAAAATATTGATGTTTGGCTAAAATGTAATAAACTTTTAGTTAATATAAAGAGAACTAACAACTTCAATTTTAAACCCAGACAGAAGAAATTTAACTCCAGAATTTCTCTCTCCTTTGGAGGTAAACCTCCACAACAATCTAATATAGCTAAATTCCTTGGGGTCTATATTGACGATCATCTCACCTGGAAACACCATATCAGCTATATATACAATTCTCTGCCAAGGTCCTAAAACTTGGAACTCTCTCTCTATTTCAGTCACTCGTTCGTCAAACCTTTCTAGCTTTAACACGAACATGCAAGAGTTTTACCTACATAATCACTAGATTGGCCGAGCTGCACATTCTCAGCACTTTTTATTTACTTGATTTATTATTGTAAGTGAGCTGGCTCTCCCAGAAGCCCGGTAGCTTCTTGGGTCTTCTCGCCTTCTAGCTGTTATTGCTGTAAATAAATCTTTGTATTCTTAAAATAAGGCAAATAATGATGATGATGATGTTGCGATGGGATTTTGTAATTCTTCGTGTGACATGACATTTTTACACTGAAATTTTTTCATCATTAGTGTAGGGTAGGTTTTCACCAAGGATACAGAGAGACAAAATGACCTTCTTTCTTAACTGTTAATGTTCACTTAAAGTAATGTGCTTTGACCTTCTACGCTGTTTTGGTTTGAAAAACCGTATTTAAGTCTACTTCTTTGTCTTATTTACCCCTTTTGTGTGACTATGTTCCCTTTACTTGCAGTTATTTCGCGGGAAAAGAAAATAATTAAAGGAATATAAAAAGATAAAAATGTAATGGATAAGATAGCGGCAAACAGTGGAAACATCTACTTTATCGTTTTTATTATTTTCTTTTTCTGCAGTCTCACAGCGGATATGTTCAAAACAGTAAAGTATGTCCTGTTGTGGCTGTCTCCGGAAATATTTCAAAAGTTCATTGTGATGAATTTCATCCTTTTGTCTGCGTGAGGAGGCCAGGTAAATTATACCTACTCAGTATCATTATTGATAAATGAATGCTATCGGTGTATTTAAGGATCATACTACATGAATATCAGTACGAAATCATTTTACCTCATCGCCTGACGAAAACAAGCACTACAGTTGTCGAAACGCAACAATCCTCAATTGATAGCTTGACTATTCAGCCACTAGTGACTCTAAATTTAGAGACAAAACCATTACAATTTCATTGTGATCATAATTGCGATGGGCAACAATGCTTTTATTATCATCATCATTCTGGCACAGTCAGTCGATAATTTTGCCACACATTTGCCTTTATCATTATTACCATTGTTACTACTGTAACAAGATATTAAGCTCTTCTGTACATGACACCAAGGCCCCACAGTAGCATGATTGATGAAATTCAGAGTCTATAACTTCTATTTCCGCCTGTAAGTTAGATAACAGAATATGCAATTACGTTAAAATATTTCTACAAGTGCTGAATCACAGCAATAAGCGACGTAGGGTTTCAATCTGCCCCCCTCCCCCCTACCCTGCACCATGGCGGGAGTGACACCATGTCTCAGGAATATGTCTCCTTATGAAGGAAGCATGTACCAACTAAATAGACATTTTTTGGCTCAATAGTTATCCACTGTCCGAACAGTTGTTTTCATAATGGGGACTGCATAGGTGCCACGTGTTTCTGTTATCCTGGATGGACTGGAGAAGACTGTTCCAAGTTTCACTGCCATGACTTGCATAACTGTTCTGGTAATGGTGAATGCATGGGTCCTAATGTCTGCAAATGCTACCCTGGATATTTAGTAAGCGTCATTTCTATTCAATTCCATCACAGCTCATAACTGTATTGAATAAAGGCTGATAGTTTCGAAAGAAACTGTTTGGGGCTGCGTCGGTGGGAGTAACGAAATAATTTGGATATATCAACAAAGTTGAAATGGTAGATTGGCCACCGTAATGATTACAAAAGCTGACGTTTCGAGCGTTAGCCCTTCGTCGGAGCGAATG